TTCCTTTTCAAAAACATTGAACTGAACTCAATATATACATGCGTCTAGTATTCTTATTACAAGAATATTATCTAATCATCAAATTATGAATTATCATAATTCTATATATTTATTAAAATAAAACAAGTTCAAGAATTAATGTAATCAATCTTATTAATTAATAAAAGTAATGTATGTATCTATTTTTGCAAATTGGATGCATACTTAATTAACATACTTATTGAATATTAAGTCAAGCAAAAAATCTATAAAAAGAATATAAAAGGGAGCCAAACAACAATATTAAAAACAAATAAAAGGTAGAATATCCATTAACTAATAGTAAAAGAAGTTGATACCAAAGGAGAAAAAATCACAAAAATTCATGAATCTACATAAGGCTCTCTACAAGTGGGGTTTGTTCAATACCAAGAAATTAAACATTTAAAAAAAACTAAAAGAATTGTTTAAAGAGTTAAAAGAAAATAAATGCATTTTTGTCCACATCAACAACAACTATAACAAAATACAAAATGCTGGGCTATAGAATATAGAAGATTTTCCACAACAACTTAAAAAAATCATACATGCTTAAGTAACTATTTAGCATTTGTCATCGTGATTAAACTCAATCTAGTAAATTAATCTTAAATTCCTTTTATCCAACTCTTTACTTATATGAAATTTAAAATTAACCAAAGTAAAAGTTCTTCTAACATGACTCAATCGATGTAATTGGTTCAAAATCAATTTATATGATCGGTTAAAAATTTTGGCTTTAAAAAATTTCAAGATAACATTTTTTTTGTATCATTGATATGATGATATATTAGATTGACACTAACTCTCCAAACCCACTACTTGAATAATAGATTCCTTCTGGTTTAAAATTTTTTTTAAAAAATTATTTTTTACTTAATGATATTATAATAAAAATAGATGCTCGTAAAATTAAGCATCAACCAAATATCAGGATATTTGTTTGAGATTGTAATAACAAACATCATAAAAAGCAAACTGAAACAAGACCAATTCAAAATCAATCAAATGTTAAAGGATGAAACTAGAAAAAAGTCAAAGAGGATTCAATTTAAAGAAGGAAAAAATTGGAAGGTAGAGTAAACAAAGTAACAATATAACATTGTTATTAAACTTAATCAAGTGGATAACTTTGAAACCTCTTAATTCAACTTCTTGCCTGACATAGGTTTAAAATTAATTTACAAGGAAGTTGTCTATATAACTTAGTTGACTTAACATATGCAAATTAAGGCAACTTAAATGACCACTAAAAGCAAGGTTTGGATTTTGAAAGAAAAAAATCAAAACGACATCTTTGTTTTACTATTAAGACGATAATATACTAGATCAATTCGAGCTTCACATCTTAACTTGTTAAATGCACAACTCAGATCATGAAGTCCATTAGATCTAAACACTATTTTTTATATAATGATACGATAACTAAAATAGACACTTATAAAATTAAGCACTAAACAAATTTAGTGATGTTTGTTTAAAATTATGAAAAATGAAATTGGAAGGAAAAAAATAGCAAAAATCATTCAATTAAAAGAAGAAAAAATTAGAAAGAATTTATTTGTTTTCTTTTAAAGGGGGAGGATATGAATAGTAAAGTAGGAGGCAACCGTAACTTTTTTTAGTATAATAAATAATTTTTAATTAAATTAAGATCTTTGTCTTATACAATTACACCAAAAAAGGTTTAATAAAAAAGGGAAGAAAATGCCTAAATACTGATTTGTGAAAAAATAAAAAGAAAAAAAAATAAAAAACACCAAATCAAGAAGTGAAAGAATATAAGGACCCGTTTAAAATACACACATGTATATAAAGAGTGAAGGAGATAGAGAAGCAGAAATTTTTTAGTATAGTAGTTTATTTCTATTTAAATTGGAAACTTTATCTCATGTAATTAGGTCAAAAAATAATTAAATAAAAAGGACTAAATTGTAAAAAAAAAAAACAAAACCAAATAAAAAAGAAAAAAAAACTAATTTAAAAAAATTAAAGTGTTTTATTATTCATATAAAAATAAAACATCATTATAGTATCTAACTAGATAAATAACTCGTATTAGGGGTTATTTTTTTGAAAGCAATGAGAAATTGTTTTTAAAAATATCTATGTACAAAAATCTAAACTAAAAAAGATAAATGATTCAAGTAATTTATTATAAACTCTATGGTAAAACACTGTGCATTAACATAATATATATATTTTTTTTCTATACACAAAATAATTGTTTTGCTAATGGGGATAAAGTTAATTTTAAAATAAAATAAATCTAAAACTGGTTTTGGATAACATTTTCATCTTTCCAATATAGTTTTTTTTAATATTTAGATGCTTTTATGGCTATTTAGTAATTTAAAATATTAAAATATTAATAAATTAATAAAAAAAACTATGTCAACGTGTGATAGTCCACCATCTTATTCAAGGGACTAATAAATTAACCTAAACTGGTTCTTGCTTTACAATGAGCCACAAAAAATACTCTTTTGAATATTAAAAGTATGAACCATATTGTTTATAAATGACAATTTCATATGGCTTAGGATTTTGCATGCTAAGGATTTATTTGACGTCGTGGTTGAATCGTTATTTTGCTAATTTTTAAAAATTTATTCTTGCTTCATTTTTTTTTGCTCTTAAATTGTTTTGATGTTTAAATGTGAAAAATAAATTAAAATATATTATTTTAATATGTTTTAAAATAAAAAAACATTATAAAACACAAATGCTATTATATTCTTAAACAATCATTTATCAAAAAATAATTGTTGTTCATTAGCCATTATTGCATACTAAAAAAAATATTATATCACAACAGGTGGCTCCAATATCAATTCACTACTTTTTAGGATTATGCACAAAGTTTACTTTTGACCTAACTACAACAAACGTAGTAGCTTTCTCGTTAACATTCTCAATGATATTGCTTTGTGCATTTTTTTCCTTTAACGTGACAACAGTCCTTACAAATATGTCTTTGCTTTTTACAAACAAAATAAGTTTCTCAAATTAATTCTGGTTTTTTCCCCGCATGAAGAATGTTTAGGAATTGGGTTTGTCATTCAGACCACAAAGATTACTGTGTTAACAAGTATATCAAAATTATTATGATTGATGATTTCTAATTAGTTTTCTATATCATATATATTCAAACCTCTGTTTAATTTCATATATAAAAAAGCTATATAATTATAATTCTTTTAGTTTTAGTTTTAGTTTGTTAGTTATGAACAAGAATACAATTTTCTATATAGTTTGTTTGTGAATCTGGAAAAGAATAAAGTCATCTGTCAAGCTCTGTTCACTGTGGTCCGACATTCGTCACCTCGCCCCACATGAGCTCTCTCACTTTCCCTCCTCCGCTCTCGGAAACCGCCGCCGACATTTAGTATGGTCAGGGTTCCCTCCTCCGCTCTCGGAAACAGCCGCCGACATTTAGTATGGTCAGGGTTATTGCGTTGTCTGTTCAAAGAAAGATGTGCCTGTAAATTTGTTAAGTTGATTCTTATCAGTCTGCTCTTTAGAGTTGATGATAACATGAAATATTCATTGTTAATGCTCGTTGTTTTCTTCTTCTTTTTCCTAGATTAAAACATCATAGACAAACTCTTTGGATGGGTTAGTGTTTCTGGCCTCTTCATCTTCTATTTGTGCTGTGGTATTTAGTCTGCTGATATTCATTGGGGATTGAAAAGCCTCGTTTTACGACTTTGTTTTATCATCTTCTTTTTTCTTTATTCTTTTGGGGATGTGGTATTTTCCTCTTTCTTTTTACACTATTTGCTCCCTACAATATTTAACAAGAACAGGAGGGGAAGGGGAGTGGGGTTTGACAGTTAGTATTTGCTTAGAAGGGAATGCTTCTATGGTTTAGAAGCACCATGAAGATTCTTTGCTTTGAATGGCTGAATACCCAGGATCCTAGCACCTTGGCCTGAATGGTTGTGTAAATTTGGTATGCATCCATATGTGGCTGAATTCTTTAATAAAGTACATGATATTAGACGGAAGTTCTTTTTAAATCTATTCAAGTCCGAATAAACTGATATTCCATTTTTCATGTTCTTGATGTGCTTTTGCTCTTCTTGCCGTTCCTGACTTTCTTTTTAGGGTCTATTCTAACATGCAATATGATTTTTTTCTTTCTTTTTGGTTGGCCCACTGCGGAGAACCTGTCATGGACACGGGTGATTGGAGAATTCAATTGCGGCCTGACTCACGGAAAAGAATAGTCGACAAAATGTATGTGCAAGTGCTGCAAAATAGTAAATTTTTTATTTATATGAAAGAAAAGGAGAATGACAAAGGGTTAATTAAAATCAGCAGGATTGCCATAACGCAACCTCAAGTATCACACTCCTCTTTTTTTTTTTTTGTTTCATCTTTTCATGTGTTTCTCACGAGAAGCAAACTTGAGGGAACATAAAGTGCTGGGAAGTAATTTTTGTTGGAATTTCTTGTGTAATCTCTGCTTTTGATGATGACCTCTTGGATGGCTGCATGAAGCTTGTTCCACTTTTAATTTCAAGGTTAATCTATTGCTATGAGCATACGTGTTTCAATTTAAAACTCGAGTTGCTATTGAACTTAAATGAATGGTGTTGGATTTGGGCCTTCTATTTGTTTTAACTTCTACAGGGTTGAAATGATGGTGATCTTAAAGTTGAAAAGCAGTAGACAAAAATCAATTAGCCACAATGGTGCATGGTTTCCTAGTTTCTCAGCATAAAGTTGAATGTTTTGTTGACCTCTCTACATCCAAAATCATATAGACAGCTAGTTCTGGCACTTGCATTGGTCAATGAATACTGTAGAGTATATATTGCAGTGTGAGATAAGGTTAACTCGTTGCATTTTTATATATTGAAAAGATTTCTCTTCTTTTCTTTGTCAATTACAGCACTTGTGTAGAAATTACTCAGAGTAAATGCTATTGTAATGTTTTCACAGACTCCCCTGCTTTGCAACTAAGTCACTGATATATGAAGCTCGTAGCTAGAATTTTTAGATAGAAGGGTGGCCAAGTAAACTCATATAATCTGTACCTCTGGAATAATACAGGGAAAGGATGTCTATGTATTTTGATATCTTATCATACTTGACCAACTCTTGCTTATCTCATTATTTGTTTTTACTTTTTGCTAATGATTCCACACATTTTTGATATTGGTGTGGTTTATGAGTTCAGGGTTCTTGCTTGCTGCTGCTAACTTCTCTATACTTGCCTGGTCATTAAAAATGAAACGTAATGATTTGCATGTGCAGAATGGAGACATTAAAGAGGCATCTTCTGTTTTCTGGTCAGGAGGGATTACAAGAACTCAAGAAATTTTCCATACGTTTTGAGGAAAAGATTTATATTACCGCCACGAATCAGGGTTCAATAATTATGATATTCTCTTGACATGAATATACACATGCATTTATGCATGTACAAATGTGTGTGTAGTGTGCCTACACTTCCTCACCGTTCATTCTGGATGCAAGGCTGATTGGGAGTACGCATGTTTTTGTTAATTCTCTTGACAAGTGTTTTATCTAGAGTGACCAAGTTCAAGGACAAGGGAAGTGTGCAAAAATAAAATAGTGAATCAATACATAAATAATTAAATAAAAAGAGAGGAAACAGAAGTATATCCTCACAAAAGATGAAATGATAGAGCATATATCCATTTTCCTCCTCTTGTAACATGGATTGCTCTGAGATCTAATGTTTTGTTATTAATATCTGATTTCAGTCTGATTATCTGCGTAAAATATCTCTGGAGATGCTTTCAATGGAGATCAGGTCTCAAAATGCCATGCCCACTGCCCCCATGGATCCAGCAGGTTATAATGCAGCCGAGCATTGAATTTGTAAACATCTTACCTTTTGTTTTGTTTGTCGCATTGTTATCAAACTTTTTTACATTTTATTGTGGCATATTGCTATGTGTTTAGCATGCTTTAATCAAAAAGTTGAGTAATTGATGAATGTTAGGCAAGAATATTACAGATTGTTTTTGTTTTCTGCCTCCTCCTTTTCTTTCCTCCACCTTGAAAATTGTCATATTATTTTTGTTTTCAGCCACCTCTTCTTCCCCCATCCCTGAAAATTGTCAGAGGACATTTTTATGCTTTGAATCAAATCCATCCCAATTTTTTCGCTCATAACTTTATGTGTGAACTGCATATGTTTCATTTGTCTTCCTTGTTCAGTGCCTTCTTTTTTTCTGTGACATGGTTTTCCCTTTTGCCTTTTATCTTGAACAACATCCCATAGTATGCCCCCTGAAGTTCAGAATCAAGGGCTGTTTCTCCCTATCCTATTGTCCACTGATCACTCTCAAGCACGTCAGCAGTTGGTATCACAGAACATGCAGAATTGCATGGCATCTAATGGAGTTCAAAGTTATGCTGGTTTACAAGCAGCACTGCCTCCTGTCTCTGGTGTAACCCTGACTATCCCCAACACTGTTGTCCAGAATCCTAACATGCAGAGTATCCCTGGTCCCTGACTATCCCCAACACTGTTGTCCAGAATCCTAACATGCCGAGTATCCCTGGTGTTTCACAGAACTCAGTGGGGGAATTCAATGGGACAAGGGATTCCCTACACTATGTTTGCCAATTCTCAGAGACAAATGCCAGGTTCTGCTCTTTTTGGTAGCTTTATGTGCCACTGCTTCCCCTTATGGCATTAGAAATGCCACTGCTATTGGAACTATTGCAATCACACATGCATTTGTAACCACATGATGCCCTACAGTGCGGCGCACCAACTGTTCACCTCTCATAATGGTTCAAGTCAGCAATGCTCTTTTGGTAGCTTTATGTGCCGCTGCTGCCACTTGTGGCATTAGTAGTGCCACTGCTATTAAAACCATTGCTATCACACACGCATTTGTTACCACATCATACCCTCGATTGCATTGCATCAGCTGTTCGCCCTCTCATTCTTCATTTATATGATTACATAACATTTAGATGAAGTTCTTAATACAAAAAGGACTTGTATTCCTATATAGGAAAATACTAATAGTCCTATCTAGAATAGGAAAAACCTAATGAAGCTCGCTCTACTTTGGGAATAATTAAATACTAAATGGAAAATAAAACTGAGACTCGCAATATTTCATAATTTTCAGCAAGCGTTAAAATTGCAGAAATACCCTTGTATATGGAAAACACACAAAAATACATGAATTCTAATATTTTGTTGTCCACATTGAAATTTTTGTAGCATCCCTAGATTATACAGCACAGACTGGACATGCAAAAGGCGCTGATTGGCAAGATGAGATCTATGAGAAGGTAATTTCTGTGATTTACTGTTCATTAGATGGAGTTCATGTATGCCATAGTCTTGCAAGATTTCAATGGAAAAAGGTCTCCTGGGATTGGTCCAAGTAATTTTATTCAGCTATGGTTGGGATTAGTTAGGAAGCATTGGAAGTTCCATGATTGCAGCAACTAAGAAATGATTAATCATTGATAAGATGAATGAAGGTAAAAGTATTCAGATTTCTAGTTCAAGAGGATTGCTTTCTTGGTTCTGGCACGCCAGTTTTTTATTGCAAACCTCTCCCTTTCTATTTTTTCCCCTATATTTGTTGTGTGGTGAATTATTATTTTATTATTTATTTCCAACAAGTCCTATTGTCAGTACTTCTTACTGCATTAGACAGACTTAAAAATAAGAGTGCACTATTTCTGAATGACTTTATCTTTGGTTAAGTGAAGAGTTAATTGCACGATTGCAATCAACTTCTTCTGAAACATGTGACAATGGAAGAAAAAGAAATTAAGTGGGACTTATTCCACTGAATTTTATAGAAAATGAGGTTGAAATTCTGAATGTCTCACGTCATAACTGCATATTTGATAAGGACATTTTTTTTGTGCGCTTAGGAGAGTATTGAAACGGGAATAAGAATGCTCATGCTTAGGATCTAAGGCTAAGAAGCATTGCTAAAGTTGTGACATGCGCTGACTTGAGCTAGAACAGCAGAATACAATGATGAGTAGTTTGCAGAGAGACAAAGTAACTGAACGTAACCAACACCTGAATCTTGTCTAAAGGTGTACTTACACAGCCCTTTGCATCTTTTCATTCCATCAATATCGACATCCTCTTGAGTTTCCAGCATGAACAGGGGTCATGCTATTTTTATCTCAACTAATTTATGCTGTCCTCGGCGCCCCCCCCCCCCCCCCCTTTTTTTTTTTAATTCCCTTAAGTTTGTTTGTGTTACTTTCTTTCTTACTGGCACCTGAAGAAATCAAGAATATGGCCGATAATGTTTTGCTGGTTATTTGTACTTCCTAGATCAAAGTTATGAAGGAGACTTATTTCCCTGAAATAAATGAAATGCACCAGAGAATTGCTGCCAGGTTACAGCAGGTAAATTGTCTCTGCAATTTCTTCCGGATTATCTGGCCACCCATGATTATCTGCAATTTCCCCACATTGAGCTTTTGTATTAATTTGTTTTCCTCATCAGCATTGCCTGTCACTGTATCATCTGCACTAATCACCTACACCTCCCCCCAACCGCTCCCACAACCATGCATCAACACAGAAGAATTGGAATAGAAACATTTTTTTTCATTAATGTTTTGCTACAAAGGATCGATGCAATTTTTAATTCTCGTGTATGTTAACATTGGTTTCCAGCTTGACTCTCTTCCGCATCAACCGAATTCAGAACAGCTTGAAAAGCTGGAGATTTTCAAGACCATGTTGGAGCGCTTGATAACATTCTTACAGGTCTCTAAAAACAACATCACACCTAGTTTCAAGGAGAAATTGGGTCCTATGAGAAGCAGATTGTAAGTTCTATAAACCCAAGCAGATTCAGGAGGCCAATTCCTAATCTACAGTTCCTCAATTGCAGTGCCATGAAAATCAACTGAATCTCCAGTAGCAATCATTGAATGTGCAAGGTTCTGTACCAATAATGCAGCAGAACAATATGTCAAGCTTGCAGCATGGTTCTTTTTCATCTTTATCTGGGGTTTCTATGTCATAACCAATCATGATGATGCGGGACGAGGGATATTAAGAAAAGAAAAGGGGGGAGAGAGAATGATATTGTAGCAAAAATATTTGAGCTTACTACAAATCCAAGCCAAAACATTTGAGCTTGTCATGTTGAATCATCTCTTCTAGAATTGTCCTTTTCCTTGCCTGGGGCATCAAACATGACCTGACATGTTGAGGAAACAGACGGGAGGTGTTTTTTTAAACACAAGGCAGATTTTTATGAGGGCAAATCTTCAGTGTTTCGACAGGCAGCCTCATGAGCAAAAGAAAGACAATCTGCGACCACTCCAAGCTTCTCGTTGCTCCCCTGTTCCGATTAGAAACAGAGATTCAAGAAGCTATGCTACTGTCCTGAGACAAGAGTTCCAACAAAATCTACTGTAAGTTCCCAAGACACTCTTTTTCCAGAGAATCATTCCTCTGCTTTGCATAAAGTGATCCATGAATCTGTAGAAGAGGAATCTGTATGGTTAGGATATAGTCTTGTTGGGTCAATTAAAGAGGGTGTGACTTAATGTAGGCCCGGTTTCACTATGTAATAGGGACATTGAAGATAAATCAGGAAGAGGAAAAGAAGCCTCAATCGCTCTCAACATGAGTGTTTGAAGTGGCTCGACTCAAAGAAACCAAATTCAGTTGTTTATATTTGCTTTGGAAGCATGGCAAACTTCACTGCCTCTCAGCTTAAGGAGGTTGCAGCAGGTCTTGAAGCTTCTGGGCATCAGTTTATCTGGTTAGTTAGAAGAAACATAAAGAGTCAAGAAGACAAGGAAGATTGTTTACCTGAAGGATTTGAGGAAAGAATGGAAGGCAAAGGGCTAATTATCAGACGATGGGCACTCCAAGTTTTGATTCTTGATCATGAAGCAATAGGTGCATTTGTGACTCATTGAGGATGGAACTCAACTCTTGAAGGCATCAGGCCAATATTTGCTAAGCAATTCTATAATGAAAAATTGGTGACTGATGTTTTAAAAACTGGAGTTGGTTTTGGAGATCATGTTAAAAGTGAAGCTGTAGAGAAGGCAATCACTCAAATTATTTTCAGAGGAAATGAGGAGCAGAACAAAAAAGGTGTATCTTCTTGCTCCGATTTCAATGCTTTGATTGAATAACTGAGGCGGGGTCGCCATTGAAACAGAGGCAATGTAAGTGTTGATCACATGCATAGAATATTTTGTTTCTGTTTAGTAGTGGTTTTGGCAATTTAATCTCAGACAAGTCTGGAGAGTTGAAAGAGTAATCACGCCCGAGACAATGACCAATCCAAATCAGTTCCCTTCCTAATGGTTCAGGAATGAGAAGTCCAGCTAATATATTTGATGTACAGATTAAGCACCAATAACTAGACAAACAATCATCACAAACTAGGAACGATCGTCTTCCCAGTAACAAATTCACCTCCTGAAGTTTGAAAACTTGCGAAAACTAGCCACCACAAAATAGTAGCATGTATCTATGCAGTCTTCGATGAAGTACAACCACCTTCGTCGCCAATATGGATTGATGTAGAGAACTGTTCCAATCGTCATCACCACAATTGTGTAACATACACCGAAACTGATGTAGAAAAACTCCATGTCTAGGAAACTATCATCTCCTTGTTTATCATTAGGCATTGGCTGTGATGGCACTGCTTCCTCACTACAATTGTTTCGCAATGGAGGTCCACACAAGAAAGGATTTCCTTCGTAACAGTTTTCATCGAAGGTCCCAAACTGATATTTTCTTTCGGGTGTCCTACCTGACAAGTTATTGTGCGCCACACTAAAAACTTCTAGTGTGGTAATTTCAGTAAGTTGTGGAGGGATAACACCATTCAAGTTGTTGTAAGAAAGATCCAAACTCTCAATCTGCTTTAGGTTTGAGAATATTGGAGGGATAGATCCAGTGAGATTGTTGTGTGATAAGTTAAACGACAGTATCTCACTTAAGTTTCCAAATTCTGGTGGGATTGCTCCTACGAAGTTGTTATTAGAGAGATCAATACCATTCATGTAGCTGAGAACTTTCCCCTTGTAACCATAATACATATTTTTTGTTCTGAATTCTATCACTTCTGTAAAGTTAAGCAAAATATCCTTTCCCAAGTTGTTCATACTATCCACTAGTAGTGGACCCATTGCTTCATGATAAGCTTTTTCCATGGACCATTCTAGGGAACTCGATCCAAAAGCAGCTACCAAACCCGCGAATACTTTATGGGAACTTTTCTTGAAAGTAAGATTGCCCAAACAAGAGGGTAGTGGACCAGAGAGCTGGTTTTGTGAAACATCCAAAATGCTTAATTGTTCTAACAAGCACAACTGAACAGGGAGCTCACCATCAAAGTGATTAGCCCTCAGAAGAAGAACACTGAATGATGAATGATTGCCAATCCAATTTGGAATAGAGCCGGTGAAGCTGCTGTCTCTAAGATCCATCGTAACCAGGTAAGAGCTGTTAAAAAATCCATATGTTAATGGACCGCTCAATCTATTTTTGGATAGATGCACATGGGTTAGAGGTGGTGGACTGAAACAAGATGGTATATATCCAGACAAGTTGTTCTCAGAAAGGTCCAAATATTCAAGCCGGTCAAGCTTACAAAAGTCTCTTGGGATCGGACCTATAAAATGATTTTTGGACAAATCAATTGCACCAAGGCTCGTAGAATTGACGAACCACGTTGGGAGCATGCCTAAAAATTGATTGTGACTCAAATCCAATACAGCCCAATTGTTCCACGCATTTAACGGAAAATCTGATATCTGACCCCAAAAGTTGTTACCACTTAGGTAGAGAAATTCCAAGGTAGAAGAATTGAACAACGAGGTTGGTATTTGCCCACCCAAATTGTTGTTTGACAGCTTGAGAAACCATGTTGTTGTTAGCAGTTCTAGTTTTACTGTGGACAATTGATTGTTGGATAAATCTAAAACTCCCAAAGAGCTAATATTTCCTAAACATGAAGGAATACAACCTGTGAATCCATTCTTAGCCACCCTTAAGTTTTCTAGATTTGGAAAGATCAAACAAATATCTTTTGGAATTTGACCGTGCATGTTGTTGTTGGATATATCTAATGCGGTCATATTCGGATAAAGGTGATCTTGCAACTGCAAAGCACCAACAAAGGAGTTCTCGCTCAGATATAGTTGCTCCAATCGTGTATTGTTCTTAAGCAACCACGATGGAAACATTCCGGTGATGTTATTGTGGGAGAGATCAAGGACTCTTAAGTCGTATTGGTAATAGAGGAAGTCGGGAATTTCTACAATGAGTGCTTCCGATGTTGGATTACTTGACAAGCGGAAAAAAAGTAGTTGGAACTTTGGAATCAAATTATCAAAGGCAGCAGGTTCCGTTACTAGTCTGTTGTTCTCACTGTAGAAGAACTTGAGGCTTGAGTGGTTCATAAAAGGCTTCATTGAAATGGGAACTTCAAAGAGGTTATTTGATAGTGAGAGGAATTTAAGGGATATGAGGTTGGTAAGAGGACCAAATGCAATATTTCCAGTAAAGTGGTTATCAGAAACATCTAATTGTTGTAGAGATGACATGTTCCCCAAACAATCTGGGAGTGAACCTCCAAAATTATTTCTAGCAAGATCTAACTGCTTCAGATTCTTCAGTTCACACCAACCTATACAATTTACCTTGAAACAATCAAAACAATGTTGAAAGAATCTTTTATTGATGATGTAATTATAGGCAGATGGAGAGTTGTTAATTTACCTTGAGCGGGTAGGGTGCCATTGAGGTCACATTCAGCAACAGACAAAACTTTAAGAGCAGGCAATGCTCCAATGTTCTGGAGAAAGTTTATTGGGAGAGAAGTATAATCTAGATGCAATTCTTCAAGGGTGCTAGAATTGAAGAAAGTCCCTGTGAAAAAGAAAGAAGAAGAGATATGGTGAAAATAATGGTGGTACAGAGTAGCCATGTGCCATTATTATTCATTAAAGATTTTAAGAAACTAAACTATGACTGCAGGAAGTCCAGCTTCCTTAAACCTATGACGTGTAGAATTGAGAACAGGCAATCAAGTAAGTAGTGAAATTAAGTGTTATCTTGATCGAGTTTTTAAACCTATGATAAAGAACTGATATTGAAGAGGGAGATGATTTTTGGATAGAAACAACAAATTGCCTGAAAAATCCAGAGATTTCAAAATGTATTGTTAATAATAGAAGATGCCAAGAGATATTCACAACTTTACCATTGACAGTCAGCGGCGATCTTAGCAACATATTGCCTGATAAATTTAAAGACTAGAGAGAAGAAAGCCAACGCAGATGTGATAAAACGCTGTCGTTGAATCTATTATAGCTCAGGTCCAGGTTCTCGAGTTTCCCCAAATGTGTTGATATGATCTCAAAACCTGCAAGAGAGATAATGTTTCTAAGAGTAAGTCATAATTATGAGCTCACGATATGCATAATAGATAGAAACCAAAGATAATTAGAATTGATGAGATGCTGTTGTTCAATTGATATATGATTCTCAAATTATACATAAAAAGATGGAAGCTAAGTTATGGACAGACTTACAAAACAAGATAAAAGAAACTTGTAATTAAGATCTCATCGGTAATTAAAACAAGAATAATAATCGATCCAAGATAGCAACATAATCATCGGTAATTAAGTAGTTATGATAGTTTTAAAAAGTTTTAGAAACTTTTTCACGTTTTATTTCTTCTATGTCCATCACCATTCACCACGACTATAAGGCAAATATCCTCCACCACAGAATAATATTTTGATTAAAAAAAGGTCCAAAATAATATAAAATCATGGTTAAAAAGAGAGGAAATAATAAATGGCTACAAACAAGAATTAAATATCAAATATGTGGGCTTTATGTTGTTCTCTTTATTGATAAAACAGTCGAGAGTGATTTGTATTGGATAGTTTTTTTGATAGATTTTATTAAATAGATATAAAGTCCCCATTTTTCATGATAAAGAAACAGTATAATTAAGAGAATGTCATGTGAAGCATTTAGGTAGATAGAAACTGTGTATTATACCTGATCCTGTCAACTCATTGTACGACAGATACAAAGACTTGAGGGATGAAAATCCAGTTAGAGATGGAAAAATGCCATCGTTGTATTCATTCCAACCCAGGTCAAGGTTCTCCAGCTTTTTCAACCTTGATGACAAGACTTTGAGACCTGCATGATGTTCCTCAAGAGCATATTGGAAGGAAATAATTAAATGCGTTGAAAAAAATGATATGAGAAGGAGAAAAGAAAAGGTTTCGAAGCTAAATAATTAAAAGGTTACCATAGAAGCTACCTGATCCAGCTGTCAACCCATTGTCTGATAGATCCAAAGACTTGAGAGTGGAAAGGTTACCATTGAAACATGACAAAATGCTTTTATTAAATCGGTTATAACTTAGGTCAAGTTCCCTCAGAAACATGACAAAATGCTTGTACCATTTTTATTAAATTCGTTACCACTTAGGCCAAGTTCCCTCAGTTTTGATGATAGGACTTCGAAGCCTGGAAGAGAATCATCAAAGCAAGATAATTGACATTAAAACCAATCAACGGTGATTTTGTTAAATAATATTTATATTGTTTTATTTATTAAGAGTAAAATAATATTTTTAATTTAATTTATATATAACATTTTTGTATTTAGATTAACCCTAAACACTCATAATAAATATATTATTGAGAATTCTAGTCTCCTTTAATTTTTTATCTGAATTATTTTAACAGATTTATTTTTATGATTATAAGAACAGAAACATGGAACTAACCTTCATTCTCCAAGCAACCAACCAATCCATTAGATCCCAAATCAAGACTTTGCAATTCTTTAAAAGGCAGAAACAAAGATGCGTTGAGAACCCAATCGCCCAAGCGGAAATCCCTTCTACCGAAAAGAGAGAGCTGGATCACTCGCCTTGTAGTGTTATCACACTCGATCCCATACCACTCACAACAATTACTACTATCCACCCAATCTCCCAAGTAAAAGCCATCCAAAGCTTTGATCTCCAAGAGACCAATCCTCTCTTCCTCCCAACACCCATAACAACGACCATGCCATTCGCCAACCAGAGTCAATAATGCTAGCAACATCCAAGCCCCCATTCTTTTCATCATCATCTTAGATAATTCTATGAACTACGTAGAATATTGTTGTTTGTTATGTGCCTTTGGGCAACCATAGAGGTTCTATTTATACTATGAACTACGTACTACGTAGAATATTGTTGTTTGTTATGTGCCTTTGGGCAACCATAGAGGTCCTATTTATACTACACACTGGCAATTTATTTAATCGATTAGGTTTGATTGGGTGAACTTTCACTTGGGTTTTTCTAAATCTGAATCAAGTTAGATTTTAAATTAAAATGTTAGGCTTGAATTAAATTTAATAACACTGATTAAAACAAAATTATAAAAGAAAAATTGAATTGCATAAAACTAATTAACCGAAAACTTGTATTCCTTCTTATAAAGTTGAACCCATGTTAGGTTTTTTTCAAGGAAAAATATGAATCAAAGGTTAACGCTGGGCAGCTCATCACTTTACACAACAAGATGGTTATAGAAGATTTACTACTTTCTTTATGTAAATAATGTGTGGAAAATCAAGCTTTAATTTTGATGCTAATGGCAAAATGATATTGTTTCTAAAACACTTGATGTCATTGTCATGACAATAAGTCTTTTTCTTTGCAGTGTGAGATGGGTCTGTGAGACTATATATTATCATCAGCATGTTTATTTTTCATGATAATTAATTAATTAATTGAGAATTTGAGCTTCTTAAAAAAAGTTGTATATCGACTTTTGTTTTCCAGAGAAAACTCCTTTCAAACTCTTGAGCATCATCTTCTCTAAAATATTTATTTTTGCCATAACTCATAATTCAAGGGCTGTATGTTTGTAAGGTAAATTAACAAGTTACACCTCAATTCTATATCTTTTCTACGTATGTATGTGATTGTACCTTAATGTTCTCACAATTATTAGAACTGCTTGTATTTATAAATGTAATAACGGTTATTTTTTAAAGTATTTTTTATTTTAAAATATATTAAAATAATATTTTTTTATTTTTTCAAAATCATTTTTAGTGTTATGTTAATCGGGCAACATTTAATTACCATGATATAAAATACAAAAATAGTAGTAACATAAAAAAACATGCTTTTATATATATTTTTATTTTAAAAGTACAATTTTTACACTAATTTTACTCAAAAACTATTGTAAGAAGATATTTATTTTAAATTTATCTATATTTTTATAGTTCAAAAATTAAAAATAAAATTAACATAATTAATGCAAACTCATCTAAAAACATGTAACCCTGATATCATTATTTTATAACAAAACTAGCAAAGATAATTTATTAATCACTAAGATTTAAGATTTATGGTTAGAAATATATTTATAATTGTCTTTATCTCTTTTGTATTTCTAACTATTAACGAATTGAATATATAATAAATTCCGAGTGAAAAGAATAAATTTAGTTGACCCCATGTCAAAGTCTTCTGTGGAAGATTGAAAGAATCATTGAGGAAGCAGTGAATCACACGGGAGGATTGAAAGAATAATTAAAGTGATTTTACTAACATTGTAAAAATAATTGAATTGCATAAAAGTAATTAACCGAAAAGTTGACCCCAAGTCAAAGTCTTCTATGGAAAAATATGAATAAAAGGTTGACGCTGACCAGCTCACTTTCCATGACCATGACGATGATGGATACAGGGCCCTCCCTTCTATCTTTATGGAAATCACGTCTATAAAATCATGCTTTAATTTTAAGCTTGAGAAGGGATGATATATATATATATATATATTCCTCAATTACATAAAAAATTAAGAAAAAACTAATATTAAGATTAAAAATAAATGTTTTATTCATTGAAATAATTAAAAGTAAGGTTTACTTAAGGTATATATGGGATGGTAAAAAAATAACAATAAAATCAATTTATATATAAAAGAAAAATCACAGATTTAGTTTTCCTAAATTTTAAATGTAGTGTTTATAATTAATTAATTGAGAATTTAAGCTCTTCTAAAAGTTGTTTATGGACTTTTGTTTTTCGGAGAAAACTCCCTTAAAACCCTTGAGTACCCTTCTCTAAAATACATGTCTTTGTCAAAGACCTGCAACATGCAAATTAAAATTCAAAGTGTGAGCATTGAATTTCTTGTCCGTTTACACCTTTCTGTGGTGTCTAAGAGGAAAAACTGAAAAGGCAAAAGTTTTGTTGTACAGTGAAAAAGAGCATGATCAGAAATACACAAAAACAGAGATGCATGAATCCTTCTCCACTAGCGGCTCTCGTCCATTGGATCATTGTGGTTTCAAGACTGATGCCCATTCATCGCCCTCTTTGTTTGATTCCTCAGACCTTTATGAAACTGTATATGAGATGTTATAGAATAATTTAGAGAGTGACGGAGGACTTGACAAAGGGCTGAGGGGTGGGTGAGATGTTATGTCAAGAAATGATTTGGAGAAATTTCTTCATACGTGTTGAATAACTAAGATAAGATAGGAGTCTTGATCAAGGCAAGAACATAGGCTCTCCAAGACGATTGACCAGAAGGAGAGAAGGAAGGCTCTATATCATTAGCACGTCAAACACTCCTTTGCACATTAGAGAAATTGTCGAGTTATTTCTGCTTCTTCTTCTTTTTTTCTTTTTTCTTTTTTAATAATAGTTGAGTATTATTATAGAAAGGTGCCAGAGCCAAAATTAGAGGATAGCTAGCATAAAAGAAAAACAGAGGACAGTATATACTAAACAGGGGAGTAAGTAATAACATAATATATATATATATATATATATAAAAACTTGAGTTAATACATCAAGTTTATAATCTGAATCATGAGATTGGGATAAATAAATTTAATATTAAAAAAAGTTAAAAAAATCCATAAACCATATATGGTTTAACAATATTAATCAATTATTAAAATATTTCATTATATATATATATATATTAAAAATAAATATTAATAACTATTATATCAATTTGTGAATGTTTAAATTTGGATGTGAATTAACGTGTCATGTATGACATTTTTCTTAAGAATATCTCTTTCATTAAAATCAAAGTTATTAAACATGATTAGATTTAATATTTAAATGAGAGTTAAGGTCATAAATTGCTCTAATACTCAGATTAAAATTTAGATTATACATCAAACAAGTTATATTATATTAACTAAAATTAATCTAAAATTATATTATTTTAATATTTTGTTTTTAAAAAAATCAAAACTACATCTTTAAACTTGTGGTTCTTTATGAAAATAACGTGTAGAAAATCATGTCTTAATTTTGATGATAATGGTAAAATCAAACAATTTTGTTTACTAAATGAACCACAAATAACATTATTTCTAAAATTAAAATACTTCATGTCATTATCATCATTGTCATGATAATAAGATTTTTTTTTCTTTTTAAGTCCTTATCAGTTTATTTTTTCGTAGGCAGTGGAATGTTCCATGAGACCATTGCTATCAAGTATATTTTCTATGAGATGGGTCCATGAGACCATTACCCCGTAAGCTTGGGAATGAATAATTAATATGCTTTAATTTCAGTTTAGTTTGCAATAAAAAAATGTTTAAGCATAAAAAATAAATCTCAAGTGTTAAAATGCAACCACCATTAATTAATGGACAACGGACCTTAGATTAATACATGACGCAACTTGCAATGAAATTATATTTGTGGAGGTATTTACTTATATGTGAATTATATTTCTATTTTTAATTTTAAAAAAATTTATATAACACAACGAGCTTAAGAAAGTCATGTTCATCTAAAAAAAGAAAAAAATGAACTGAATAAAAGCATCACTATAAATGTTATACTCCGAAAAAATCTTCTTTCCTTGATAAAACTCCCTAAACTACTATATGTCTCTAACAGTGAAAATATCACTACAAATGGTGGCAATCCTCCCATCGTTGTATTTTTTTTCCTCAAGATGGGTTCGACGGACAATCACCGTCATGCATTTATGAGTCCATTGCCATCTGCACATTGGTCTGTGAGACTATTGCCATCGTGCATTTTTCCCACTAGATGGGGTTGTACGCTTGGGGTATATTTTATTTTATTTTAAAAAACCGAATAAATTAAAAAATATTTCATCTTGGTCATAATCTTATTTTGTTCCATGAATTTCACCTAAACTCTTGCTGGAATTTTCTATTCCAGACATCTTGTTTATAATATTTCTATTAGTAACAATGATTTTCTTGGAAGGATGGCTGCCTCTTGGTTGCTTGAAAATATATGGTTTTTTTAGTTCAAATCTATTAATAAAAATATAATTTTATTGAATATTTTTTTATATACTTTTGTTAGAGAAACCAATGTAAACAAATTTATAGACATACACTAGATTATCAAGTGCTTCAATAAAAAATTAATCAAAGTGGTGTGGATCCACATCAATTTTTGTCCATGTTTTTAGTATTAATCTCTTCATCCATTTACGGTTGGAGAAAAAAACACCACCAAAAGAGTATGTGAACCTTTGAGTCCACACTCATTTTATTTTAAAAAAAATTAAGTAAAAAATAAAAACTTTATAAATATAGTAAAATAAATAAAAAACTATATGTGTTAATAAGCGAAAAAAACTATAAATAATGACTGAAAATAAAAATTAGAAATATCAAGAGATAAGTATAGAGTTTTATTTTTATTTTTATAAAACAACTATATGCTCTGATGAAAGATAACAAACAAAAGAGTTATATTGAATGAAGAGATTAGGAAAAAAACAATGAAAAAAAAACAGGTTAAAATTGTCTAAATACACTAATTTCATGATGATAAGTATACGATTGAATAAGCTTATAAAAAAAATTTGTACAAGACTGATTAATTCTTCCTTGTGATGTCCAAAGTGTATATCAAACATTTTATAACTTCTACGTGCAACAAATATATCACAACTTATTTTTATTGTCTTCTATTATAATTTGTCTTGTGCCTTATTTTATTTAATATATTAAAATAAATTTAATAAATTATACTGAAGCAAGATCTAATATTAGAAAGTTAACAGAAATAAATATCCCTTTGCCCACAAGCAGTTGGTATCTTCAACAAAATGCTGAGCTGTATATTAATTCTCAGAGACGATGATAACTTGTTGTTTTAACTAATCCCTATATTTTTAAATATGTTTATAATTTTGGAGTTAGCTATATTCAAATTAGTTTTGCTGGCATGTAACCTCACTAAACAATTTAATACTTCATCAAACAATTTGCGCTGACCGTATTGACTGGGAGTC